GGCAGGTGAGAGGCCGGAGATCCCATGAGGATCAGATGGAGGGCAGGTGAGAGGCCCGGAGATCCCATGAGGATCAGATGGAGGGCCGGAGATCCCATGAGGATCAGATGGAGGGCAGGTGAGAGGCCAGGGATCCCATGAGGATCAGATGGAGGGCAGGTGAGAGGGGCAGGAGATCCCATGAGGATCAGATGGAGGGCAGGTGAGAGGGCCGGAGATCCCATGAGGATCAGATGGAGGGCAGGTGAGAGGGCCCGGAGATCCCATGAGGATCAGATGGAGGGCAGGTGAGAGGGGTCGGAGATCCCATGAGGATCAGATGGAGGGCAGGTGAGAGGCCGGAGATCCCATGAGGATCAGATGGAGGGCAGGTGAGAGGCTGGAGATCCCATGAGGATCAGATGGAGGGCCGGTGTGAGGGCCGGAGATCCCATGAGGAGCCGTGTAATAATCTCATTGCTCCAGTTTAGCACATACATGTCCCAATACCTGATAAGTACCAGGACAATATGGAGATCCCATGAGGATCAGATGGAGGGCCGGTGTGAGGGCCGGAGATCCCATGAGGAGCCGTGTAATAATCTCATTGCTCCAGTTTAGCACATACATGTCCCAATACCTGATAAGTACCAGGACAATGGCCCGCAGCTGCATGTAAACAAAGAGGCGGGATGCCGGTGACATCACAGTCCTTATATGGGCACATTACCCTAATATGGTCATGTGACCATATAAAGTCAATGATGTCACCAGCACCCCGCCCCTTTGTTTACATGCAGCTGCGGGGCGGAGAATGTTCTGGCTGCAGCTGATTGGACCGCCACTAACTATTTCCTTTCCGATTCGGTCCGAGCCCAAACTCCTCCCTACTCACAATGCGGACTGGCTCTCTTGCCGCCTGTCCCTGATTTAGTCCTACGTCATGTTCAGATCAATGGCCGTATTTCTAGAGAAAGAGTTAGCTGAGGGGGGCCGGTGGAGGGGGGATACACAATGTTGCTATGGGGCCCCATGATTGTAGTAAAGCTCCTCCCCCTAACAACAATCGAGTACCGTTGTCGCTCCTTTTCACAGCCGTACCCGGCTACAGTCGGAGGAGATCGTGGCGGAGTTGGTGTACAGTTTCCTCATCCCAGAGATCCAGAAGAAGACTGTCCGGGAGAGAGGTGAGTGCGCCCTGTCCATAGAGGCGGGGCCTCCTGGGGGGAGGTGGGATGCTGCAGCAGGGGGCTGTGATCTGTGTCGGACATTTGTGAACACAGCCAAGAACTGCACTGGCACCCGGATGAATGTTACAAATCCCATCATGCATCTGTCTCCGGGAGTCATGCCTGTGGCTGTGAGAATCTTGCAATGCCTCATGGGAGAAGTAAAGTATTTTTCCCCCAAAAAGGGATCCCACCATAAGTCCAAGTATTCAAATTTAGTAAAAAATTAGGGATGGTAATGATTACAATTTTCGTGTTCGATTAATTATAACGCACATACAGATCCAACTGCATTGGCCTATACACATACAGCACAGCAATGACCTATACTCATACAGCACAGCGATGAACTGTACACATACAGCACAGCAATGACCTATACTCATACAGCACAGCGATGACCTATACACATACAGCACAGCAATGCCCTATACACATACAGCACAGCAATGCCCTATACACATACAGCACAGCAATGCCCTATACACATACAGCACAGCAATGCCCTATACACATACAGCACAGCAATGAAGTAATAAAATGAACTAGGATCACACTCATCCAGCATGTTATTAATCTCACGTGCCCCAATCAATATGGCCGCCGCTTGAGTGGGGCAACTCAGAATAATAACGTGCTGGATGAGTGTGATCCTAGTTCATTTTATTACTTCATTGCTGTGCTGTATGTGTATAGGCCAATGCCTTGGCTGGCGCTCGTGCAGAAAGTTTCTTGGGCAAACTCACCGGCCCAAGTGGCTCCGTCGACTAACGAAGGGGGGAGGAGTCCGGTGACGTCACGGACATCAACGTCACCGGACTCCTCCCCCCTTCCCTTCAATAGCCGTCACGGACATCGACGTCACCGGACTCCTACCCCCTTCCCTTCGTTAGCCGTCACGGACATCCGACGTCACCGGACTCCTACCCCCTTCCCTTCGTTAGCCGTCACGGACATCCGACGTCACCGGACTCCTACCCCCTTCCCTTCGTTAGCCATCTGTACCCGCCCCGTCCGTTCCGCCAGTCAGCGCTGGCGGATCGGAGCGGGGAGTGGGGAATCCAGCCCCTCCCCTGTCACGGCAGAGAGTCGTGACAAGATCGAGAGGTGAGCGAACCCGGTATGTGTTCGCTCACCTCCCGATCTACTGAGCCGACCTGTGACAGTCTCATTGTCACATGTCGGCTAGCACTATGAGGTGAGTGACAAGCCCCTCCCCCCTCATAGTTCTCCTTTAAATGGAGATGTTCAGTCGTTGCAACTTAGAGGTATATAACCTTGAAGAGACCGAGCACCTATTTGATGGACTGTTTACTGGGATTCCACCCTGCCCCGGGACATGGTTATTATATCATTCAAGACAAGAGTTCAGCGAAGGACTATTTTTTCACATTCGATGAACCGAGATAAGGATATCGACAGAGGCCAAGATACAGGCCAAGTATTTCTCTGCCGGAAGAACCGAGATAAGGATATCCCTCCAGCGAAGCGCGCTTACACTTACCGTGGATTACAAAAAGCCGAGAAACAGATCATCTTTCTCCTGAACCAAGTCCATCTACAGTCCGGATCGCCGTGCAACCAAAAACCCGCCTCTGGACGCATAACTGTTTCCGAGAAAGGGATAAACATCACCGTGAGCGCTAACGGAGATTTTTCTAATGTGATACAAACGTTTTGAACTTCTTTTTGAACCTTTTTTCTCTTTTTTTTTTTTCATACACGTGTATGTTAAAGGAGAACTATGGGGGTCAGGGCTTTACCCCCATAGTTCTCCTTAGGGTAACGGGAGGACACAAACTAGCTTCCTCCCGTCACCCTAGGCTCAGTATATAGGGAGCTGCTGCTCGCGGTATACTGACGAGTCATCAGAGACACACAGAGCCCTCAGAGATACACCGAGCCCTCAGAGACACACAGAGCCCTCAGACACACACCGAGCCCTCAGACACACACCGAGTCCTCAGAGACACACCGAGTCCTCAGGTGACACTACTACAAGAGACGGACTCGGGATGGTTCTGGAGTGCGAGTGACTCTCCATGTGATTTCAGTGGTCCTTATCTCTTATTAACCTATCCGCACGCTGTCCTGCAGTGAGGAACTCCCAGCGCAGACATATTGCTGCCGCCCATCGGATCGTTCATGGAAACACCGAGGACTACCTGAGGGCGGAGTCACACCAATCACAAGCAGCGACCGAGGCGGAGCGGGAAGGGGAAGAATTGCAGTGACGGACACCATTGTGAACTCTGACCCTCTGCCGTCCTAGATGATTTCTGAACTGGACTAAATAATGTTTTGTGGAATTTGATTGGTCGGTGTGGCCCCCGCAGGAGGGTTTGTTCTACTATTGTTAACCTTTCAGGAACAGAATAAACTTTCCATGGCTGCCTGCAAGTGGGTGTATTATATCTATTGTGACAATAACTCCTCCCCCCTCCATTGTGGGAGGGGCAGAGACACAAACTACTGGGAGGGAAATCTCACCATTGTGGGAGGGGCAGAGACACAAACTACTGGGAGGAAATCTCACCATTGTGGGCATGCCTCCAAAATCTTGCGAAAAGCCTTCCCAGGAGAGTGGAGGCTGATGCTGCAGCAAAGTGGTATACTGGTGACACTGGGAGGATTGTATATTGGTGACACTGGGAGGATTGTATATTGGTGACACTGGGAGGATTGTATACTGGTGATGGTCTACAAGAACCAACCAATGGATGTATAAGGATACAGAGGGTGGTACTCCTAGTATAGGGATACAGAGGGTGGTATTTTGGGGTTCCTCCCTTCACAGAGGTAGATACGATGGTGCTCTCAGGACTCCCGCCTCTGGTTACCAATTGTATATTGGTGACACTGGGAGGATTGTATACTGGTGATGGTCTACAAGAACCAACCAATGGATGTATAAGGATACAGAGGGTGGTACTCCTAGTATAGGGATACAGAGGGTGGTATTTTGGGGTTCCTCCCTTCACAGAGGTAGATACGATGGTGCTCTCAGGACTCCCGCCTCTGGTTACCAGCTGAAACATCCATGATGTCTCTCTGTACAATCTCCCCCCACCCCCTACACACGGAGGACCGGTTATGACACACGCGGTCTCTTCCAGTACACGGGGGATAATCACACGCAGCGCGATGGTCCAATTACCTCTGACAGTCAGTAATGGGATCCAGAAGGGGGGGATTACAGGGAAAAGCTTCACACGTTCCGCCATTCGCGTCCTGTAATTGGCGTCTCCGTGCGGTGAGGTGGGTGACGTTGCACTCCTCTGTACAGAGACTGATGTGACTGTGGGGGGAGGGGACATTAGAGTGTAAGCTCCTCTGTACAGAGACTGATGTGCGTCAGGCCCGTGGGTGAGTATATCTGTGCATGTTACATACATGTGTCATAGGCAGAGTGACGTGCGCTGTGAACGCGCCACATTCCCCCGCGTGGATCGGATGTATTTTTGTACACGCAGCGCGTTCCAATGGCGAGGTTCGGCATCAGCCGCCCACAGGCAGAGGAACGCGGCTCCTGGAGGGATGTGGGGGCCGCTCACGGCTGAGAACCGTCTTCAGATATTCCGGCCAATGATCTCCAGATATAGCCGGGGGCGGAGCTGTGGACGGCTTTGTAAGCGATTGTTAATATTTTGAATTTTATCCTTTGGGCTATTGAAGACCAGTGTAGGGATTGGCAGAGAGGGGTGGGGGATGGAAGCCTCAGATACTGTGCAAATAAGTTGGTGGGGCTTATTCATGGGTGGAGCTGACTTCCATCCTGCAGCTATGAGTGAACATGGCCGACCAGTGAGCCCGCTGGGTCCCCGATGTGCTCGTACTTCAGACTCTCCTTTAGCAAATGTGGGTTAGCGAGCGTAGACTACAGCGAGAAGGCGACCAGAGTAGTTGTCACCCTCATGTGGGCCTTGCCGGCCATTACTGCGATGGGATGAGATGAGGGGGTGTGGCTTGAGATGAGGAGGTGTGGCTATCAGCAATGTCACTGCTGATTCATTAAACCATGTCTTGTCAATCAGCACCTGGCCAGCCATAGCCCCGCCCACTGCTTTCTCAACAGCACAGCCTCTTGTTCCTGGCCCCTCCCACTGGGAGCTGCAGTGTCTGGGAAGGGGGGAGCGTGTGAGACGCAAATGAAGGAGGTTTCGGCTCGGGTCAGGGGAGGTAAAGGAAGATTTTAGGGGATTCTTTCGGGGTGGGGGTTTGAGATCCATGTCAAATTGTCCGTCTGTGTCCTGGTCACATGATGGACTGGTCACATGATGTTGCCTCCTGTGAGGTCATGGTCGGCACCGCGCTCCTGCAGCAATGGGGTCTTGGTATCAGGGGCCCCCGACTACCTTCCTATGTTCTTAGAGACCCCATCACCAGACCACCCGTGTAATCCACAATCTCCCCATAAGATTATGTGAGCTTTTAACATGTTTTCTGCGTGTTCTTTACATGTAAAAGCCCCAGGACTGCTGTTGAGTGCCGCCATCTTGGATGTGATGTCATGTGACGTTCGGATTCCCAACAGACCCAGAACCGTCACTCGAGGAACGCTCTATAGCGACCTCGGCCCTCCAACTCCAGCCCCATGAGGCATTGCAAGTCTGACGGCGTCGGGCGGTGTTCCAAGAGGCAGATGCATGATGGGGGATTGGCCAAATATTGGACGTGACCCATTTTTTGCGCAGGCGATGCCCGTCCTGCGCGTGGTGCGTTGTCCGGCACATTGGGGCGCCGTTTAAAACGAACGATCCCTAAAACCGGCTCTAGAGCCCTCGGGTCTGCTAACTCGGGGCGCGGTAATGGCGGACGGCTCAGCCCGGCCCCCTCACTCGTGCCTGGTGCTGTTGCCGGGCAGCCGCAGTGCCGGAGATCAGGTGCATGTCAAGCGTTCCGCCAACTCCCGTCATTGTTTATTCTGTACGAGGAGGAAGAAAACACTCATCAGGAGTCCCCATTGAGGCCGCTGAGAGAGCAGGGGGAGGGGAGCTTACACTCTAATATCCCCCCACAGTCACATCAGTCTCTGTGCAGAGGAGCTTACACTCTAATATCCCCCCACAGTCACATCAGTCTCTGTACAGAGGAGCTTACACTCTAATGTTCCCTCCCCCCACAGTCACATCAGTCTCTGTACAACACGGGCAGCGAATTGTGACAACGCGGAGGATATTTTGGTGCGTGGTTGGCCGTGTCGCTGGTTGAATCCTCCTGGTTGCCGGTATCCACGTCTGCTGGTGGCCCTGTCCTATTGCAGGAGGCGTGTTCTCTGTTTCTTTTGGCTCCACCCCCTCTGTGCGTCACACCTACACACACACTGGAGTGACAGGGAAGCTGTGCTCGTGGGATCATGTGACAAGAGGTGGCAGACCTGCTAGAACTCTACTGTCCCTGATGACATTGGACTTGAAAGAAACTCAGGTTAAGGTAAACTGAGGGGATGTTCGGTTCTTGCACGGTGGGGGTTCCAGGGGGGTGCGGGCCGATGGTGGGGAAGGCCCATCAATGGAAATGGGAGTAGGGGGCAACTTGTGTTGGTTCACTCCAGCCTGGTCATCATCGCCTTAGGTTTGGGGGGCGGTTGAAGGATTTTGAGCCCGTCGTGTGTTGGACAGAATTATGGTGAAGGGACATAGACGGCATGAGCGGGCCTCTGAGGGTCCCGTACCCCTTCCAGGGCCGGAGCCTGACTTGAATGATGCTTCTTCCCTCCTCCTCCCTCTTCCATTGCTGGTCTGGTTGATCTGTCGTAGGCCAGGACCAGTATAGCTGAGAATTGGTTGATTACCTGAGATGGGGGGTCTTCTCCTTGGAGGAGGTGACCCCCATGGTGACGATGAGGTGTGTGTAGGACCTGGTCCTGGTCTTGGGCTCCTCCCCTCTCTGGTCACGATAATGGACGATCAGATCCTCAGCATGTGACCAGGAACATCTATAGAGGTACAAGAAGGTCACCTAGCTTGGGGGAGGGGTCATTGGAAGTTTTTTATTGCACAAGATCTTCCAGTAGGGCCAGCACGTTTCGGGCCTCCGACTTCTTCTGAGCTTCAAATCAGTTTAAGACGAGATTCTCTAGAGGGGGCTGAGAATGTCGAAGTATCATGAGGGCCGCCAACTGAGCTTCTCGGGACTCTTCTGTGCACAGCAGAGAGCCGTCACCCCCTCAGTACACGACCCCCCCTCACTGGTCTTCAGTCCACCGCTGGTCCATGGTGTCGCCTACTGATGCCCTTCAGCTGTATGAAATCTCGAGATCTCCC